TATAGAGAAATATTCCTTTCTTTTCCTACTGTCTAACACACTCCGGTCCATACTGATCTTTCAGGCCAGTTATTTGTAGTGAGAAATGGGGAAAGTCTTTGTGATGGGTTCGGTCACAGAGATCTCTTGGGACTGTCACCTGATGTGCTGAAATTACCTCTGAGTCCGTTTTCCCTGTCAGCTTGGGACTCCAGAAACCTGGCTTGTTGAGCCAGACCCAGGGTCTGAACCACCCCCCTAAAGCTACAGGCTTTAAGTGAAAACAGCTTAGGAGGTTACCTGCCTCCACCACCCAGACACCCAGTTCCCAATGGGATCCAAACCCCAGATAAATCTGTTTTACTCTGTATAAAGCTTATACAGCATAAATTGTCTGCCCTCTATAACACTGATAGAGAGATATGCACAGCTGTTTGCTCCCTCAGGTATTAATCATTTACTCTGGGTTTATTAATGAACAAAAGTGATTTTATTAAGTATAAAAAGTAGGATTTAAGTGGTTTCAAGTAATAACAGACAGAACAAATTAAGTCACCAAGCAAAATAAAACAAAACATGCAAGTCTAAGCCTAATACATTAAGAAATTAATTACAGGTAATATCTCACCCTCAGAGATGTTCCAATAAGCTTCTTTCACAGACTAGACTCCTTCCTAGTCTGGACCCAATCCTTTCCCCGGTACAGTCCTTGTTAGTTCCAGCCGACATCTTAGGTGGCTAGCGGGGGCTCTCTCATGACTGGGACCCTCCTTTCTCCTCCTCCACCCCCTTTTATAGCTTTGGCACAAGGTGGGAATCCTTTGTCTCTCTGGGTCTCCACCCCTCCTTCTAAATGCAAAAGCACCAGGTTTAAGATGGGATTCCAGTATCAGGTAACATGTTCATATGTCCTGTGAGACCCCAGCCTCCATTCTTCCAGGGCATGCCCACACTTACCCAGGAAGGTTTGCAAGTAAACAGAGCCATTTACTGGTCATTGGTTCTGAAGCACCCTTAATGGCTTCCTTTAATATGTTTACATCAGTAATACAAGTTTATATCTTATTCTCCTAATTCCAGACATAGAAATAATACATGCAAACAAATAGGATGAACACACTCAGTAGATCATAAGCTTTGTAATGATACCTTACAAGAGACCTTTTGCATAAAACTTATTCCAGTTACATCATATTCACATTCATAAGCATGTTTCTATAAAGCATATGGAGTTCAACGTCTCAGTCTTTTTAAAACAAACAGCCCAAAAACACAAACACTCATGGCTCAGAATACATTAAATAACTTGTCTTTGTTGGGGGGAACCAGAAAAAAACCCAAATAAATACCATTTAACTAACAATAAAAATGCTTTAAACCATTTGATACTATTCAACTAATCATTTGAAAACCCCATACTTCACTGGACAAATTTACCAAGTTACTTAAAGGCAAGATTGACACCATTGCTTACACTGAATCATATCTTATGGTGGGATTTTGACTAACAAAGACAACTCCTGTTTAAAGTCAGTGGGAGTTCGGGGGTAACATTTTCAAAAACCTGTGTGATTTGGGAGCCTAAGTCTCACTGAAATTCAAGGCTCCTAAGTCACTTAGGCACTTTTGAAAATTTTAGCATGGAGACCTAACACCTTTATGTCCCTTTGAAAAACCACATCCTTACTACCAAATGGTTCCACTGACTTGAGCAGAACTACTTATAGAGTACAGTGCTACTTACCTGGCCTGGGGGACAATGACCCTAACGCCCTTAATGTGTGTCATGGCCGTAACAGATATACAGCCATAGGTCTTGGTCATGCAAGCTATTGTGTGTGGATGGAGCCTTGTACCCTAGCAGAGCCCCAGGTGTGCATATACAGTCTTCCCACAGGGTGCATCTTGCAGAAATAGGGCCTGACATTTTAATACAGGGAAATAGTTAACAGATGTATATCAATGTTAATTGTAATACCAGTTATGCTTTGTAACACTGTAAATGCCGTTTGTATCAGGTGTCTCAACAAAATCTGACAGCTTAAGTGTTGCCGTTTCTTTGTTAACCTAAATATATACATATAGCAAGTTAAATTTTACCTTGATTTTCTTCCAGCTTCCCAATTGTTTCGATCTGCTCTACCAAGTCATTGGAGTTCCACTGGCTCATTCCTATGAGAATGGCACTTTTCCCTTCCACCACCTCCTCTGCAGCAAGAAAACAGAGAAGAGGGTAAACGGCAGTGAATAAAGACAGGATTACCTTGTTACCAACTATCAGAGAAACGTGTAGTTCATTACGATCCCTAAAGGGAATACAAAGCACATGGCATACACAGGATTCTCTGAGAAGGCTTCCTGCTTCCACATCCGCAGCAGGGTGTGTTTGCATGCCAAATTCATTGCATATTGGAAAACACAGAGGGAAAGGGAATTTAGCAAATCTTGGCTGTTTATTTCTGCAGAATTATTAGTTGACTGAAATAAATATTCATAAGAGGTGGAAAATCACTTGGCATTTTATTTGTGCAAAGCCCTTTATAAATATTGATTGACTGATTTACACTGATTATCTAATTAACAGATCTGGTTGGAAATATTTTCCCGCCCCCATCAAGCAGTGCACTAGGAACTAGGGCTGTCAAGCGATAAAAAAATTAATCGGAATGAATCACACTGGTAAACAAATAATAAATAAAACCATGTATTTAAATATTTTTGGATGTTTTCTACACTTTCAAATATATTGATTTCAATTACACCACAGAATACAAAGTGTACAGTGCTCATTTTATATTTATTTTTGATTACAAGTAGTTGCACTGTAAAAAAAAGAAATAGTATTTTTCAATTCACCCAATACAAGTACTGCAATGCAATCTCTTTATAATGAAAGTTGATCTTACAAATGTAGAATTATGTACCAAAAAAACCAGCATTCAAAAATAAAACAAAGTAAAATTTTAGAGCCTGCAAGTCCACTCAGTCCTACTTCAGTCAATCACTCAGACAAACGAGTTTGGTTACAATTTGCAGGAGATGATGCTGCCCACTTCTTGTTCACAATGTCACCTGAAAGTGAGAACGGGCACTCACATGGCACAGTTGCAGCCGTTGCCGCAAGATATTTATGTGCCAGATGTGCTAAAGATTCATATGTCCCTTCATGCTTCAGCCACCATTCCAGAGGACATGCGTCCATGCTGATGACGGGTTCTGCTTGATAACGATCCAAAACAGTGCAGACTGATGCATGTTCGTTTTCATCAACTGAGTCAGATGTCACCAGCAGAAGGTTGATTTTCTTTTTTGGTGGTTCGCGTTCTGTAGTTTCCGTATCTGAGTGTTGCTCTTTTAAGTCTTCTAAAAGCATGCTCCACACCTCGTCCCTCTCAGATTTGGGACGGCACTTCAGATTCTTAAATCTTGGGTCGAGTGCTGTAGCTATTTTGAGAAATCTCACATTGGTACCTTCTTTGCATTTTGTCAAATCTGCTATGAAAGTGTTCTTAAAACGAGCATGTGCTGGGTCATCATCCGAGACTGCTGTGACATGAAATATATGGCAGAATGCAGAAAAAACAGAACAGGAGACATACATTCTCCCCCAAGGAGTACAGTTGCAAATGTAATTAATGCAGCAGCGGTGGGGCCCCCCGGGCCCTTTTAAATCACCCAGGCCCCGGGGTAATCACCCACCCTCCCCTGTCGGCGGGCCTGAGACCAGGGGTTCTCAAACTTCATTGCGCTGTGACCCCTTTCTGACAACAAAAATTACTACATGACACCAGAAGGGGGGACCAAAGCCTGAGCCCCATCACCCCAGACAGCAGGGCCAAAGCCAAAGTCCAAGGGCTTCAGCCCCAGGCAGGGGGCCTGTAATCTAGCCCTGCCGCCCAGAATTGAAGCCCTTGGGCTTTAGCCCTGGGTGATTGGACTCGGGCTTCGGCTCCGGCTCCGGCTCCGGGTCCCAGCAACTCTAAGCCAGCCCTGGCGACTCACTTTGGGGTCCCAACCCACAGTTTGAGAATGGCTGCTCTAGACCACGATACACTCCTTGGCAGCCTTTTCAACTCAACTTTGATGGCTTGGTGAGATTTAATTGTACTCCTTTGGGCAGGTAATGTATGTTTTATTCTAGATTTGTAAAGCGCCATGTAAAATTATGGTGTCACATAAGCAATAATAGAAATAATTTCTATAGGTCCATAACGTGGGCCACAGTGCTTTGGAGTTGCTCTTCGTGCTTACACAAAAGAATATAAACCCTGCTCCAAAGAGAGCATGGGCTAATGATAGAAATGGGAATAGAACATGTGAAAGAGTCTTACAGAAAGTGTCTAGTCATTATAGCTGAACTGGGTTTTCCGAAGCTCCTTGACAAGAGGAGGGTCTGCAAGCCTAGCCAAGTACAAGGAGAGACCAGAAGGAATACATGTGGGGTGAGCAATAGGAGACAGGAGAGAGGTTTGCACAGACCTGCGGGAGCTGGGGGTGGTGGGGGTGGGAGGGGAAAGGAATCATTCAGAGAGCCTTGGAAGTAAATAAAATCTTGGATGTTATGAAGTAAGAGGGATGCAGTGCAGGGATTTGGGGCGTGGGGAGGGGAAGGAGAAGCCAGATCTGGGTGGAGTTGTGGTACAAGACGATCATCATCCTGGCTGAAATAGAGGCAGGGGCAGCTCTATGTATTTTGCCGCCCCAAGCACAGCAGTGAGGCAGCCTTTGGCGGCATGCCTGCGGGAGGTCCGCTGGTAACACGGATTCGGTGGCATGGCTGCAGGAGGTATGCCGGTCCCGCGCCTTTGGCGTACCCGCCGCCAAATTGCCACCGAAGCCGTGGGACCGGCAGACCTCCCACAGGCATGCTGCCAAAGGCTCCCTGACTGCAGCCCTCACGGCAACCGGCACGCCGCCTCCCACGGCTTGCCGCCCCAGGCACGTGCTTGGAGCCACCTCTGAATAGAGGACAGACAAGAAAGAAGAGGGGAGGTCTCAAGCTCGGTCTACACTTAAAATTAAGGTTTGCCATAGCTATGGCAATCAGGGATGTGAAGAAGTCAGCCATGGAGGCAGAGTCACTTTTTCCCCCCACAACGAATATAAACAAGTCAAAATACCGAACACAACTATCTGATGCACACCTTGCTGCGATCCTGAAGGTTTCAACTGCTCAGTCACTGAGGCCAAACATCAACAAACTGACAACTGAAGCATTGCCAGGTGTCTGGCAAACACTAAAAACTCTCTGGCAGGCGAAGAATTGTATAAAGTTGTTCGCCAGTTTTATTATTTCTAAGAAATTTGAAATAAAAAATACAATATAAACATTTTCTTTTATGAACACCATCTTCAGTGACATTATTGGCCTGCTGGGAGGATTTGAGGACGGACACTGGCCCTAAGGTAATTGAGTTTGAGACCCTGTTGTATATGAAGACTGTGATCAGGTTCTGCTCTTGGTTCCACCACTGTAAATCTGGGATAATTCCACTGAAGTCAGCTGGATTTACACCAGTCCAACTCTGGTTATGTTCCCTGAATTCTCTGTCTAGGCTCTTTTTTAAAACCCCAATTATTGTAGCATTTTACATATACATTTAATCTGACAAAACACCCTTGTGAAGATTAATCCCATTTTACAGATGGGAAAATGAGGCACAGAGAGATTAAGTAACCTCTCACAAAGTCTGTGGAAAAGGCACAAACTGAACACAGATTTTCCAAGTCCTAATTAAGTGCCTTAACTGCAAGACCATTCTTCAAATCATATAATCACCAGTATACTTGAACATACAACAGGTGTTCTAGTCAAACACATGTTAATACATTAAGGGCTATGCTAGAAAGTTTTGTGCTTTAACTACACTGGCACAGGTAAAGCAGAACACAGCCCCCGCAGTGTGGATGTAGTTATACTAGTATATTACTATTATTTATGGTATAAAATGCTTATACCAGTATAGGCTTATTCCAGTTCAGGAAAGAAAATAAGCTATACTGGTATAATACCCTTTATTCGGGTATAACTGAATCCACACTAGGGCTTATACTGGTATGATTTTGTTATGCCTCTAATTGATGATATACCCAGGTATAAACTTTTCTAGTGTAGAAAAATCCTAAGTAAAATTCTCTCTCTAAAGATTTTAACCCAGCATGAAAATTCAGGCATTTCAATGCTAAAAAAACAGAAATTGTCCTTCAGATTTCACTGTTCCGGAATTTTGATGTCAGAACATTAATTTCTGGAAAAAAAGGTGTGTGTGGGGGGGGGTGGAGGGGATAGGCCCACCAGACCAGTTCTCATACAAATTTCAGGCATGTTTTATCCTTTCATCAAAAACCATCTGTGCTACATGAGCTATTAAACTTTTATCTGACAGCACAGAAGAGATTATGGAATCGCACAGCCCTGCCACACAGCGAATCAGTTCCATTAGAGGATTTGTTCTTTTATCAGGAGCTCATCTCAAAAGGGGGCTGGGAAGCACAGACAAAAATGGAATGTTGCAGATGTTCTCCTTTAATAGGCTTAGAAATCTATGAAAATATTTCCATTCGGTTTACCAGCTGTTGAGGAAGTGGGGTGCATTAGTCCCTTCTGAATGGACTTATTTAAAAGCATTTCACTGGGGATTTATACAGGCTGTCAACGTAGACTATGTGCTTAGTATGAGTACAGAGAATGCAAATGTAAAATGGGGAATTGGTAGTTCTTTATTTGCCAAGATGATGATTCGGATCAAGGCCGGCTCCAGCATTTCTGCCACCCAAAGCAAAACAAAAACAAAAAAACACGCAATCGGCGGTGGCAATTGGGGGGGAAAAAAAAAAGCCGCGATCGGCGGCAGCAGTTCAGCGGCAGGTCCTTCGCTCCTAGAAGGAGTGAGGGACCTGCCGCCCCCGAATTGCCGCAGGTGCTGCCCCTCTCCCTTGGCTGCCCAAGCACCTGCTTGTTAAGCTGGTGCCTGGAGCCGGCCCTGATTCGGATAATGAGCCCTGGGAGTACCGTGGATTACAAATAAAGGTTCAGCAAGAGTAATCAGTGCAGAATTGGGCCAGGAGATTTCAGGATACACTATCTAAATTTAAACCAACTTCAGCTTTACATTTCAAACATTTTTAAAGGGAAATTCATTTCCTGGCTCTTCAAACGCAAACACCGATAGTATCTTGTACCTGGTCTGTTTGATAGTGGTAGGTCT